CTTTATTTCCTAGATGCCCCGTACCAGTGTCATCCTTGTTGTACCCATAGAATCTCTGGATATGCCTGTCCAGTATCCAAGGTGTTAAAAGGGCTATTGCTGGATCCCTGTTGTGTGACCAGTGAGGAAATCCAGTGATATGAAATGATCAAATAATTTGGGATAAAGCAAGCCACTTGGGTATGTATGGCATCACTTTTCTTTTGTTGTCTGGAAGCAACACTAAATACTTATAATACCACCACAGTAGATATAGTAAGCCTTCATTAACTGCCAATCGTGCATTTAGGTCTCAAACACAAAATGATGCTATTTGAGCTGTGAGATCCATCTTAAAGACAGTTCCAGTTATATTTTGTAACCAACTGAATACGTTGACTAAATATTACAATTCCTTAGTTCCTACCATATGTTTATACATCTACATCAGCATCTAAATACTGATATCTTTAAATCCAGAGGCTAATCTTGGACTATATTGGGTTGGGGTATTGTTAAGAAAACAATCCAACATGATATAGCTTTATGCACCACTTGCACAAGGCATTCATATTACCTTGTTCACAGCACTCCCAATCTGTAGGCAAAATGATGACCAGGGCATCATTTTACTTTAAGGAAATTCAAATTCAAAAAATTATTATTTTATTGTAGAAGTATGTTTGTGTGTGAGTATGTGAATGCATGCATGTCAATTTATGTAATTTGATTGTGAATATGTGTCTTCACAATATTATTATGATCACTTATGCAAGTGTTTCAGATTGTCATGTTAAGTGAGTATAAGTTCCTGTGCTCCTATGTGAATAATGTTCTTGTCAGTGCATATCTGAGTTCATGTGAATGCATGTCTGTTTTACTGTAAGTGCATATACGTACTCTTGAGGGTATGGTTTGAGTGATAGTGCATGTTAATGTTTGCAATATCGGTGTGAGTGCCAGTTAGTGTCTCTGTAAGTGCATAACAATTTATATGTGCAATATCAGTGTGCATGATTGTCAGTGCGTGTGTGTGTGTGTGTGCACTGTCAGTAGTTCTTTGTATGTATTGCCAATGTCAGTTCATATAAACTTCGTGTCTTCTAACACCCTGTCCCCACTTTAATATCTTTATGGAGTGGTTAGAGACTCATATTTTGCATGAGCAAATGACATGCACTCTACAGAGAAAACAGGGGTTGCACCATGCATGACACACCACAGGGCACAACCCCTCGCTTCCCATTCTCTTGCTTAACACAGTTCAAGGTGTCAGAAAAATCAATGCAGGAGTGTTAACATTAGAATGGACTGTTTAAACCCCTTTGACATTTGACTGTATCATTAGATCACACTGCATTGTTTAATACATCCCCATACCACCATTTATTCAAAGAATGGCATACAGGGTAATAATATGAATTTATAAAAATATTATGCAACATTTTATTCTTCCCTTTATGTGCCATCTATAACATACTGTCCTACATGTTCTCACCACTCACTCCAATCCCTGCAAAACATGACTGTTAGATATCTGTGCAATTGCATACAAAAACTATATGTACATAGCTACTATAACACACCTCTTACACATAAGAGTTTCTTAGCCTGATACCTGTCAATAGGTTGAAAAAAAGGCTAAAAATTACTATCAAACTAGTACAAGCATATCAGGATTTTGAACATAATATTGCAAATAACTGTAAACATCTCTAGACAGACACTTTTTTGTACATTTTAGATTTCCTATATATATATATTGTATGTTTTATATATTTGCTTTATGGGCTTTATTTATTAACTTTATAAGATTCAATAGCATTAATTTTAAATTATATAAGGCCTTATTAGTACTTTCCATGCACAAAACCAACATGCTATACAAAAGTATAGTACAGTGTCCAGTGATCCATATACACAATATCTTAACCCCAAACTGTTGCTGTATGACCCCGTGTGCTTACTCTGCAAGTAGACTCCAGAAGCAATCTTTAGGATCCTTGGAAGAGAGGAAAGAGACAGTGATGCGATAAAATCCCGGAGAGGGACAGCATTCTCCATCTCCTCCATGACAGAGTGTATGGACTAAGAGACAGAAGCAATATCACAAGTTCTTCACTGAATTAAGGCAGAGCATGCAGAATGCTCTCACAGAAGGGGATTCTTAGTACATTTCCTGACACTTCTCATAACTAAGCTAGATGTGATGCATATGAGGAACTTGAACTGGCCTCGTCATTTGTCTACTTATCCTAAAATAACTCAAAAGCTCCTCCTAAATATCAACTTCCTGAGGCATTCACTGTTGCTGAAAACAAACAAACAAACCTAGAATTAAATTAATCTTTTAATTTTTTTTCTGTTCTGATTAATTCCCCAACTTTAGTTAAAATAAAATTTAAAAAATGTTAACGTTAAACACTTGTCTCAATTGTGTGTGGTTAATGTTGGATGACAAATTCTGTTTCAACATCCCATGTTCCTGAAGCACTAACAAAACATTTACCACACCATAGTTTCTACCAGTATCGTGAAAACATACAAATGTGAAACACTGCACACTGCAAAGTACTGTGCAAAGTACTGTGGCAGTATACATGTAAACTATAGTTGGACCGATTGACACATGTCCTGTAATTTTTTATTCTTTATTTGAGAAGTGCAATGAAACAGGCACATATTGATAGTGACATACAGTACATAATAAAACATTAAAATACAAATGTATAGACAGAGCACGAGATGTCAAGATATACTGAACACATTTTTTATTTATTTTTTTAAATGTAGCGATAGAGTAGCAAACAAAAAGTAGAAACACACAGGAGAGCCTCAAGGCCAAAAATCTACAAAAAGCTAAGACATGCATTACTCAAAAGGTAGTGAGCTCTTTATCCGATGCCTAGTTTAGGTATATGCAAAATCTTCGCTCCAGGACTGTCCTGCAGGACACACGGAGTAGGCCCAATCGGGCGATCACACCAGCCCCGAGTTGGAAGTAAATCCAACACCATTTTTCCACGAACCCAGCTGTTAGTAATGCTTAAGTCCAGCCCCACCCGGGGTTGCATGAGGATTGGGTATGATGTCTGCGCCTCCATTGTTGCCTCTTGTTTCCCCTCTGCAATCGAGGTTGGTGTAGTGAGGAGGGAATCACGCTTCAGCTGGTCAGATCTCAGTGTAAGACTGGCCCAGAAATCGTTGCAAATTTTGTCAAAGGCCGCCAGTAGCTCTGCAAGATGTGGGTTGTGCCCCTTATTAGGGAGCCGGGCAGCCATCTTGGCTGGTTAGTAGGGAGTTTGCTTCCGAGGCCCCTCAGGTGTCTCCTGAAACCACCAGCTCTCCTGTGTGGACCGGGATAACCCCCACCGGTCCATAGGGATGAGGGGGGGGGGAGGAGAACAGGGCCACTGATACAAGCTTTGTTGGTCCCGTGTGCGGCTGAATGAGGGAGCAGTCCTCAATGACTGACTAGGCCTCGGCCTCTAGGGAACACAATCTCCAGAATATTGGGGCCATCTCTGGTTGTAAGGTAGACAGAAGTGCCTCTATTGTTGTGCTGTAGCCAGGGTTTACACCACAAGGTAAGATGATCATGCTTAGTCACTGTAGAATAGCTTGGCAAGTAAAGACTTGGAGGAGCAATAACTCAATGTAACCTTCCGACATGGCGTTCAGACCCCGCCCCCGTTGTCCTGTATTTTTTAACATAATGCCATACGCTTTTTTGTTCAAGTATGTTGAGATGATGACGAGATGCCACAAAATAAAATAAATGTGTTTTTGTAAATATGTGATATTTGGCTTAAGTTGCTTAGTTTTGTGGCATGAAGTCACGGTAAATGTATCTTTGCAATTTATAAATATTTCTATTGGTTTTGATGCTTAGTAGCGATCTTGAATAGACAGAAATAGCACCTTTACTGCAAAAAAAAGAAATATATATCTTGTAAATAGTTCTTTCTCTAAATTAGAAAGTAGTTTTATATCTGTCTACCAATAGAAACCAAGTTTTGCAAGAGTTATACAACTTGCCATGTGGATATAATTTTGTTATGGGTTTCACATCTGGACTGATTAACCTTGGAATCTAAAACAGAATCAAACTGATTGTTTAGGGTGAAACTTTAGGGTTGGCTGTTTCAACAGATCATGGTTTGTAATTAAACTTTAAAAAGTTTACATTCCATCCTCACCACCCACCCTCACTCATATAATATCCATGGATCCATTGCTATATACTTTATCATTTCAATAGCTAGTGCAGTAGCAGAAAAGGAGTTAGTGAGGACCCCTGCCATATTTTATACTCGAAGCACCATATGCTGTAGAGTTCATTGTTGTGATAATGGTGCCATTCATTTATGACTGCTGCCTCGTCTCTTGGTAGCCCAGCAATGACAGCGCAGATGGTATGATAAGGGAGCCAGGGACCGCAGCTTTCAGGTGGGGCAAAAAGTCCTTATTCTGCGACCAGTCCACAAAGATAAGCTGCAGGCTTCCTGGCAGGGCCCATACAAGGTGGTAGAACAGATCTGTGATACCACCTATATGATCAGCCCGGTCACAGGCGCGGGAGGCAAACGCATGCTCCATGTGAACATGCTCAAGCCATACCACGAGCGCACTGAAGAGGTGACCGCGATCTGTGCCCCTGCCGCTGAGGATTTTGATAATCTACCCCTCTTAGATCTACTAGACCAGGAGAGCCAAAGCGGAGACCTGGGAGAAGTACAGTTAGTTAGGAGAGCGATTAAACTCCCAGGAGCGAACCCAAGTACAAAAGTTAATCCAGGAAAAGGGAGCCATATTTTCAAATCTACCTGGCTATACCCCGTTAGCCACGCACAAGGTAGAAACCCTAGATCAGACCCCCCTTCGCCAAACCCCATACCGCATACCAGAAGCCGTCAAAGAAAGTATGCGGAAGGAGATTGAGGAAATGCTTGAGTTAGGGGTGATAGAACACTCTGACAGCCCCTGGGCCTCCCCAGTAGTACTAGTACCGAAACGGGACGGGACGACCCGTCTCTGTGTAGACTAGCGGAGGCTCAACGATAAAACGACCTCAGACGCCTACCCCATGCCACGGATAGACAAGCTCCTGGACAAAATGGCCAGGGGCCAGTACCTCACCATGACAGATCTGTGTAAAGGGTACTGGCAAATTCCACTAGCAGAGGACGCTATCCCTAAGTCGGCATTTGTCACCCCGTTTGGCCTGTATCAGTTTAAGGTCATGCCATTCGGGATGAAAAATGCCCCGGCTACCTTCCAGAGGATGGTAGATAGGTTATTGGATGGGTTCCAGGAGTATGCCTGCGTATTTAGATGATATCGCCACTTTCAGCTGCTCCTGGCCTGAGCATCTGACCCACATAGGAGCCGTACTAGACCGGATCAGGGAAGCCAGACTGACTCTAAAACCCAGCAAATACCATATAGGGATGGCAGAGGTCCAGTACCAAGGGCACTGGGTAGGAAGCGATCGGCAGAAGCCAGAACATGCTAAAATAGAGGCAGTCGCCCAGTGGCCAACCCCTCGCACCAAAACCCAAGTACTCGCCTTCTTAGGGACCGCAGGGTACTACCGGAAATTTGTGGCCAACTACAGCTTCCTAGCCAAACCTCTTACTGATTTGACATGTAAGAATCTCCCTAATATAGTAGTCTGGGCCCCAGAGTGTGAACAGGCATTTCAACAGCTCAAGACGGCACTTGTTAACTCACCTGTACTTTCTGCTCCTGATCGTTTTCTCGTCCATACAGATGCTTCTATGTTTGGATTGGGAGCAGTACTGAGCCAAGTCGGAGCGGATGGTGGCGAACTACCAGTAGCTTACCTAACCCGAAAGCTTTTACCCAGAGAAGTCAGCTAAGCCGCCATCGAAAAGGAGTGCCTGGCTGTGGTGTGGGCCCTCAAAAAACTGCAGCCCTATTTATATGGACAACCATTTACATTACTCACGGATCATAACCTGTTGGTGTGGCTGCACAGGGTGTCAGGAGACAATGCCAGGCTGCTGCACTGGAGTTTGGCGCTGCAGCCTTTTGACTTTACAATTCATTATCGCCCTGGGAAGCAAAATGGCAACGCCGATGGGTTATCCCGACAAACAGACCTGGAACCGTGATCCGTGAGTGCTCCTCCGGACATCCCCAAGCCGATCCGTTAGGATCAGACTGTGTATGCCTGCTTGGTTCTGGGGGAGCATTGTGGCAAAACTAGCCACTTAAGACTAGCCATATATTGAATGTGTCTATATCCCTGTTTCAGATGTGAGAACCAAGTGTATTACTGTATGTGTCTTTCAGACAAATGAGGGCATTCGTTTGCTTGCAGTATGAAACACCCAGCATTCCTAATGTAGTTTCACGAACAGTGAGTTTCAACACTGTTCGTGAAAAGAATAAACTACCAAATGGTCGACCACACACACAAGAGGTCATGTGGCGCCCATTAACCAATTGCAACATTGTTGCAATCGGTAGTTAAAGGCTTCCCTAGGTGGCCGTCGTTCGGTTACCTACCACGCGGTGGTTGGCAATCTTGGATCCTTTGTTAGCCCAGCTGTGTTTTGCCGTCGAGCGCCTGGAACTAAAATCAGTTACTCAACGCCGCGAACACCGCTGGACTTTCAGGCCGTTCGGGAGCCCCAGCCATTCAGTAGTTTGTTCCCCTAATACCAATCGGTACTTTAACAGTGTTTTGGAAATAATGTGTATTTCGTGCGGCGTTCGGTTAGTTAGGCTGGGAGCTGGGCGGTATTCTCACGAACTGTGCGCTCAGCCCCCAGCTATCTACCGAACGTCCATTCGTTTAAATGAAGTGAATATAATGGAAGTTATGTGGTTTAATGTAAAATGTAAGTTCTGCTGCACAGAGGGATAATCCACTTAACGGTATATTCTAGTGGGAGTATCCCTCTCGTGCAGCAGTGCATGGTGGGAGAAATGTATGTGTTGGTCAGTTCCCCATGTAGCCCCTACTGTACCACCCCTGGAATGTCAGTAGGGAAACCCCTTGCATGGGGAATCCCATAAATACAGTGACCTGTGAATAAAAGCTCAGTTGACTCCCAGCTTATGTGTCGTCTAGTTCTTGGGAAGGAAGGATTCTTGTAACGCTACCGGGATTATTGTATGCTGTATTTATTTCCTTGGATTATTTTATGCTGTTCCTGTTACCCAGCGGAGATACTGTGGATTATACTACCTCTCCGCTACAACTTCCTTCAGATGCAAGTACGTGCATATTTAAATTTTATTATTGCGGAACTGTCCACTATATTGAATCGCAATGTGGAAGAAAGAAGGAACAGTATTGTAAAAGGTGTTTAAATTTTAACTCACTTCAGTAGAGTGAATTTGTAAAATAATATAAAAGCAGAAGACAGTGGTTTCACTAACTAATTTAAAAAAACAAAACAAAAAAAAACAAAGCATCTTATTGCTTGGCAAAAGGAGGCAGTTGGAAAGAACTAAAAGGCAACAGATTTAGATTGAGGAAGTCCTACTTCTTCTGAGAAGTACAAATGACATATAAATTGGGCCACAAAACTACAAACAGGTTCATCCTGATGTCATCAAACTTTGTGACAATAAAGCACATATCTCTTTAAAGTTATCACAAAAATGCAAAGAATACAAAGTCCACTTGATGCTTTATAGCTAGATCACTCCGCTTTTATTTTGCGGAAATGAAAAACAAATTACTCTCAAGGTAACAGAGCGGGGATTTTATTGAGAGCTACCAAATCTAGAATTCCTTTTGTGTTTGATTCCAAGCAGAGCAAAATATTAAATCTTAATATATTAAATATAAAGAGTATAGTGGGAGAATTTGCCACAATTATCTAATCTTAAAAAGAACCCAGAGGTGGGACATTAATAAAACACTTAAACTTGGTTCTGAATTCTGTTAAATTCCTAAATTATCTGTTGGTGCAAAAACACATTGGAAAACTACAAGTGCAATTCCCTTACAAACTGGTGCAAAAAAAGGCTAAACATCTCCGAGACACGATGGCCTAACGGTGTATACTATCATACTATTGCTGATATTTTAACTTCTTATATTCCTAGATTATGTCATTATTGTGTCAAGGAAAAGGAATTCCTAAAGAAATTCTCTATTCCCACAAAGTCACAATGGCAAAATCTGAACTCCCTATAAATTGTCACAATATTATTAAGTCAACATCATGTGACATGGCCATTGTGCCATTTTGGAAATCCTCAATGCCAGCAACAATTTATCTCTCCCTAGTGTATGGCGCCACAGCCGCGGGAACCATGAGACTGTACCGGAGTAGAGAGACAGTGTGTCAGGATTCACTAATATGCCCAGCACGCAGAACTTAGAGGGACACTGTAGGCACCCAGACTACTTCAGCTAATTGAAGTAGTCTGGGTGCTGTGACCCTTTTGCACCTAGTGCTGCAATGTAAAACTCTGAGTCTGCCCGCTGTGGCTGTCTACCAGACAGCTTCTGGACAGCTTCCTGAATCCAAACTGACTTTTGGTCCATTACCTCACGCTGGACATCCTCACGGACCTCCAGTGTCAAATTTTCCCCATGGGAAAGCATTGAATAATGCTTTCCTATGGGGAGGTCTAATGCATGCGCGGCCATTGCGTGGGCGGAGCATGACCCAGCGCTGAGGGACTGCGGCGCTGGATTCAGGTAAGTGGCTGAGGTGGTTTTAACTCCTTCAGACATGCAGGAGGGACCTATAGTGGCAGGAAAACAGGTATGTTTTCCTGGCACTATAGGGTCTCTTTAAGTAAAAAATGAAAGAAAACCCTAAGGCACATTACCGAACCTTAGAACGGCCGGATTTAACGTATAAAAAGAAAAGTACAAGACAAGATAAGGTCAAAAATACAGAGTATACATTAATGGTAGGCAAGCCAAAGGTCAAGGAATAAATAAGTCAGAATAGTCAGGAAACAATCCAAAGTCCAAGCGATGCAGAAATCAGAATAGTCAATAAACAAG